AGGTGGTCGGGTCGTCAACAGCGACTCAGTTCCCTGCGCAGAGTTGCGTCCCTTGGGCACGTCAGAAAGCTTTGCTTGTGCATTCGAATCCCCGGTTCGCCCCGATTATGTTTCTAGATTTGCATCACTTCGGGGCTTCCTCCCACATTAGGCTGACACGCCGTGATAAGATATAACTAGATTATTGTTAAAAGCGGCCTTAAACCCAACATACTAACTCACTACTAAGTAAAGGGTAGTATTATCGTTTAATAATACCTTAGTGGTATGTTGGGTAACCTGGAGATTAAAACTGTGTAAGTCACGCCAGTAGCGTGTGTTCGATTCGGATGGCCAAGCTCGCCGACTTGGTTGATGCATGTCATCGTACCCCAATTGCTTAGATGGATGCTTGTGACGTCAATCATTGGATTATCTGGTCCAGGTACGATTATTCACAGTCCGCAGTCATAAAGCTGGACTATTGCAGATTGCGGCATTAAACAACAAACAAACATACACAACCTCAATATAGAAGTGAACAATCATAGGAATTGACTTTTCAAATTTTAAATGTATTTTTGTCCCTTTCGTAGGCAATTGCAGCTCTACCTAAGTCATTCCGTGTCATTACAGAGAAAGGTAGAACGGCCACAATATCAGCAACAACATCACCAGCCGCATCAAACACAAAATCTCCAACATCACCAACAACACCGACATAATCAAACGTATTAAAACCCACGAAAATTGTGACAACTGGAGTCTCACAAACAAAACCTTGGGGGAAGACGACTAAAGCTTCTACCACCCACGTGCCCCGCCCTGGGAGGAGCTCACATGGTCAGGGTCTCAAACTATTAACAGCAAAACTCCATATAACAACACCAGGTCTATATGGTTCTTCGTTGGCAAATATTCTGTGTGGATACGGCCATGCAGGATACAAAACAGGCAAGGAGTCGACTGATTGAAGCTTGTGTTTATACCCAGCTGTATAGACACAGTATCCGTGTGTATGCCAAATCCATAACTGAGACTCACATGTTATAAGCGTCGGTTAATAACAAACTCCACTGGGAAATATCAGTAAACTCTTCCATGACACTGACGAATGCTTGATTATTATTGGTCAAAACAATATGTAAATCAGGTATCTAATGCTATTAGATGCTTCAAAATTACCAGGCCTTTACACACAACAACTTGCATATGAATACATTGAGCTATGGAGTGAGTGAGCATGGTTTTACGCCGCTCGAACTTGGGCTCTCTGTGTGACCACTTGGCTACTCCACAGTGGTTAAAGCTTTCGCTCGTCAAGACCCGGGTGCGATTCCCGGCATGGGTACAATGTGGGAGCCCATTTATGGTGCCCCCCGCTGCGATACTGCTGGAATATTGCTGAAGGCGGCGTAAAACCACATTCACTCACTCAAGTCGACAGGTACATCAAGGTGTGTTTTGTCGATGTAGAAGCACGAAGAAGACCTTTGGAGTTTTCCAGTTGTACACGCGATTAATCAATAACGTTCAGATATTTGACGTATATGATAAAACACGTCATTGGGTTTTATGAGATTTAAAACCTGAATCCAAGGGATAAGATCGAGGGGCGTCAGGGGTGAGGGTAAATGTTTTATCTAACTTATAAACCGCAAAAAAAAATAAAAAAATTAATCAACATTTACATGTTTTAAACATACTTGTCATGAACATTAGGAAACGGGCGTAAAATATCTGTTGTTGGCGTACATGTACTTGTAACAGGCGTTCTGAACAGCATTGAGATTTATCAGCGTCTCTGAAGACTTGTGATACACTCTTTCGGATACAAATACGGAAGTTGCAACTCCGACTCGCGGAAAAATAAAGAAAAACATTTCACTTTTCGGTTTGCACCATTCCACATGCCATTACATTGTCTTCAAATTTGAACTAAATTTCTAGAAAGATACATTCACATGCGTGCAAGAATAGGTCTTCCGCAACCCATGCTTGTCTCCCCTCGTGAACATCCGTGTCAGAATAGGTCTTCAGCAACCCATGCTTGTCAGCCACCGTGAATATCCGGGTTAGGAAAGTTATTCAGCAACCCATGCTTGTCTCTCCCCGTGAAGATCCGTGTAAGAATAGGTCTTCAGCAACCCATGCTTGTCTTCCCCCATTAAGATCCGGGTTAGAAAAGGTATTCAGCAACCCATGCTTGTCTCAAACCGTGAATATCCGTGTAGGAATAGGTCTTCAGCAACTCATGCTTGTCTGCCACCGTGAATATCCGGGTTAGGAAAGATATTCAGCAACCCATGCTTGTCTCTCCCCGTGAAGATCCGTGTAAGAATAGGTCTTCAGCAACCCATGCTTGTCTTCCCCCATTAAGATCCGGGTTAGAAAAGGTATTCAACAACCCATGCTTGTCTCAAACCGTGAATATCCGTGTAGGAATAGGTCTTCAGCAACCCATGCTTGTCTCCCCCGTGAAGATTCAGGTTAGGAAATGTCTTCAGCAACCCATACTGTTCTCTCCCCGTGAATCTCCGTGTAAGAATAGGTCTTCAGCAACCCATGCTTGTCTCCCCTCGTAAGATCCGTTTACAAATAGGATTTCAGCAAACCATGCTTGTCTCTACCCGTGAATATCCAGGGTAGAATAGGTCTTCGGCAGTCCATGCTTGTCTCCCCCCGTGAACATCAAGGGTAGAATTGGTCTTCAGCAACCCATGCTTGTCTCCCCCCGTGAAGATCCGTGTAAGAATAGGTCTTCAGCAAACCATGCTTGTCTCAAACCGTGAATATCCATGTAAGAATAGGTCGTCAGCAACCCATGCTTGTCTCCGCTCGTAAGATCCTTGTAAGAATAGATCTTCAGCAACCCATACTTGTCTCCCACCGTGAAGATCCCTGGTAGAATTGGTCCTCAGCAACCCATGATTCTCTCGCACCGTGGAAATCTCTGTAAGAATAGGTCTTCAGCAACCCATAGTTGTCTGCCACCCTTAAGATCCGGGTTAGAATAGGTCTTCAGCAACCCATGCCTGTCGCCCCCCGTGAAGATCCGTGTAAGAATAGGTCTTCAGCAACCCATGCTTGTCTCTCCCAATGAAGATGCGCGTTAAAATAGGTCTTCAGCAACCCATGCTTGCTGTAAAAGGCGACAATGCTGTCGGAAGAGGCGTATCCCAATTGTGCGGATCGATGCTCATGCTATCAATCACTGGATTGTCTAGTCACGACTCCTCTAGCTGGAATAGAGCTGAGTGCGGCGTTTAACAACAAACACACAAACAAACAAAACTTATCAGGTCTTACAAGAAAAAAGTAAAACGCCATAACTGGGATCAGGTCTTACCATGAAAAAGTAAAAGTGTTTATCATGCAAAGACAAGTAACGTCAAAGACAATGGTCAATATCCGTGATAAGTTTATAAGTCCATTTCCTAAGGTTCAAGGAAAGTGTGTTGGAAGTTTCTGATAAATATTGTTTAAAATTAAAGGACGAAAAAAAACGTCACCTCAAATATATCTTCAATGTATTTTCAACCAATGTCAAAACACATTTTAATATAGATTAAAACGTATCGGCAAAACGCAATTTATGCATTCCTTTCACTGACATGCGCAGAATGCATGTGCTGGTTGTGATAATGCCCTTATTGCTAGGAAACAGGCATAACCCCTGGATAAATACCCGTATACAAATCTGGTTTAAAACAGGGGTGAACTCAGGCCCATGTTGCTGAGGTAATGGGCTGTTTGAGAAGGACGATACTCGAGGTTAGTCAGCCGGTTTAGGCACACAGGTGGAACAACAGACAGGCCTTAGAACGGTGGACCCCGAGTTACAACCCTCAAGAAGACCGCCATTAACGACTGCTTCACCTTAGGAACAGATACCTCACAGTGACGACATCGGTAGAACATGCCCTTTGTCATCCCATCAACAGAAAGACTGTGTCCAGACGACTTCGTCACTATGGTTTGAAAGCCTACCGACGGTTCAAGGGAGTGACGTTATCGAGTGAACATCGACGTCAGAGAATGAGGTGGACGAGGAATATCGAGCTTATTTACCGGCGGCCAGGGAAATTGAACCATACGGTGGTTGCAGTGTGACTGTCTCTCTGGTGCGGAGACATGAAGACGGATCTGGTTGTCAATGATGGCATCTTACCGCTGCACGCTACATCAGTGAAGTGTTAACACCAGTTGTACTGCCATTTCTCTCCAACTCACCCACATACAGCCCACATTACCAGAACATTGTTCAACGCCAACAACGTGAACCTACTTCCTTAGGCGGCAAGATCTCTCAACAGGTCTCGAACATCTGTGGGACCACCTGGGACGACAGATTAGGCAACCTCAGCCACGCCATGAGACAGGAGTGGCGTTAGCTAAGGCATTGAAGGCAGAATGCCATCTGATCCCTGACCTCGCAATTAGACGACGATCTTTCTCTGATCGGCACCGTTTCACAGCCGGCATCGAAGCTGGGAGAGGTCACGCCAGATATTGACTGGATGGTTGCTTTTTCTATCATTTTGAAAGTGGCGGTTCATTTTTATATTAGACAGATCACCTTCTATGCAAAACATATCGATAAACCACTGGATTTGTCAGTGTTTATGCACACATTTTGTAAATTACCCAGTTTTAAAATACAACAATAACCATTATAAAACATAGCTTTGTTATTTTGTGGCATTGAAAATAGGTGACGTTTCTCATGTCCTTGAGTTTAATATCGAGTTTAATAATTAAAAATATTAGTTGGCCTTGACTGACAATGTAAGCCAGAGGAAGAGTGAAATTGGTGAGGGCTAACATTCTTAATTCAAAATATCGGAGTTGGTTTTGTCCTTTACAACTTCAAAAACGTGCAATATTGTGGTTATTCCAATATTGTGGTCATAATATCACTTTTTCTGACACAATCGCGATATTGTCCAATAATGTGAACACAGATCACATCACATATCGCTGATGCTATTAACTGCCTTCAGGCAATCAGAAACGTAAAAGACATTTTTTATAAATTTATTTAACAAAGAAATCTTTAAATGAGAAGAAAATCAAAAAGAATGCAACTCAACACATTGTTTCACATTTAACCGCTCTTGATTTATACTACTTAAAGTTTGCTAAGGATCTAGTTTTGATGATGTATCATGCAACAAATTAACATTGTAATATCCCTGTACACAATGATTGGATTATCCCTAAAGTATCTCATGTACAGAGGCATGCAGTCATTGGCAAGATGTGCACGAGGTGCTTAAAAACGAGCGTTTATTCGTATCGTGACAGAATCTTTGCACATCATTATCAGAGAGCACATCAACATTTGCTACTAGGTTTGCAACAACCGAATTCACTTATGCCCCCTCAAAGAAGTCGCTTGACAACCAAAGAATTAGGCAGATACCAGCTGCAGATACCAAGCGACATCGAACAGAGTTCTACCACACAGCAGGAAGACATTATCACTTCGTGACTGCCACCACAGTCAGGAATGATCTGCGGAACGCCAGTGGCTTTAACGTTTCTACTCAAACAGTGCACAATCGTCTCCGTGAGGCTGGTCTCCGTTCACTGAGGGCATGCATTCCCATGCAACTGACTCGACATCACAGACAGTGACATTTGGATTGGGCTGAAGACCACGTCAGTTGGACAGACCGAGACTGGGCTTCAGTACTTTTCACTGATGAATCGATATACTGTCTAGACTTCACAGATCCTTACGCCCGAAGGTGAGAAAGATTTCAGGATTCCAAAATAGATGAACATGACAGAGATGGAGGGCACTGAGTCATGACTTAGGGTGTGATCAATAGGGCTGGAAGAACCGATTGTCTTGTCCTACAGCAGAGCTCGATGACATGTTTCCGCAACAGGTACGACATTTTGGGTGTGTACGTGAGACCGTATGCTGATGCAATCATGAATGATAACGTACGACCTCATTGTGACATGGTCCCTGATGCCAACTTAGAGCAGGAGTCGTTGTCCATATTGAGGTGCAAGTGTTAACGAGCTGCAGATCACTCTCTCGCGATGCCCTGTCCTTCTGGCAACACCACAGAAACTCGGCAGTGTTCGTACTGAAGAGTGGACCAATCTTCCCTTGGCAACCATCCAGACACTTGAGAGTGGTTTTATGCTGCTTTGAGCATTATTCCAGCAATATCACGACGGGGACACCTGAAAAGGGCTTCACACATTGTCCTAATGTTGGGAATCGAACGCAGGTCTTCAGCGTGCCGAGATAACGCTTCAACCACTAGGCTACCCGACCACCCGGGGGAGCATGAGAAGCGGTGTAATATGGGTCGCATACACGGTACTGTACTTTTTGTTAGAATGATTGTGTTTTTCAGTTTTACTCTCATTTTGACGAGTGATCTGATCTGATGTCACGTGACTTTTGTTTATTAAACATGTCTTAACGCAATATGGTTGTTGGCTATTTCAACACAATTGGGGCATTTACCTTTTTAAAGTAATGATACTTAGCAAACTTGGAGTAAAATGCGGTAGCCTCATATGGACGTCGCAATGTTATTGCAATAATCTTGGACGCGACGTTAAACCCCATTTCACCTCACCTCACCTCGTATGGACGTTTTTTTTCCTGAATAGCAAAAATAGTAGATAGAGGTGACTACATAGTGTTTCTATGGCATATGTTTATAATAAGACAAACGTCCAGAACAGATTATATAACAGAAGTGCTCAAACCTTCCGCGGCAGATATTGCCAGAAGGGGTCTATCAAATACATGTCTAAAGTAAGACCACGGCAAAATGGCAATAAGGTAAAGGCGAAAATGAAAGGGTAGCCAAATTACTATTCCCATGGCATAGTTCCAATACATGAAAAACAGTTTTGTATTACATTATCTTGCTGTTATTTATACATACCTAGGTTACAAAGCATGGTGAATAATTTCAAAACAAAATTCGCAAAAGCCAAGCAGTGAACAAGACTAACGGCTGTTGTAACGTGAAGACAAACCTAATTCCATTACGCGGCTTTCCATACTACATCCAGACACCAATTTATCTACAGACGTTTCTCAGTAATAAAATGGAGGTGAACCAAGCATAAATCACATGTTCCTCTGTGATCTAGTGGATACAACATCTGCAGGGAGTGTATAAGGTCAGTGGTTCGATCCCCTGACCGCACCATACCAAAAGTTGCTACCCTGCCTGGGGCTCGGCCTTAACGGATTATATGACATGCCCTGGTTGGTTCATAGTCACTGTGTCAGAGTGGGGTATTCTAGCACTATAGAACCGACATTAGTCCGGACAGGTATACGTACAAACACACACACGCACTCGTGAATGCTTTTTTAGATATAAACCCAGCCCCAAATGGTGCTTATTTCAATCCTCATTCAAAGACCATGAGTCGTCTGACGCTCTTTGCAATCTTCGAATGAGGATCATTGCTCGATTGTACCCAGAACAAATTGAAATCTCGACCTCAAAGTCTGGATCTGCATAAACAAAAATCGTTTCTGTTGAATATATAATAAGTAACGTATACGTAAACGTAGTGACCAAAACTATATGATTGAATCAATGAAAATCTATCTTTGACAGATCTTTATAATACAGCTACCATTACGAAAATTGGTTTAATGAAGCGATCTTGCTCATTACCCATCGGTAAGCAGTTCCAAGGTAACCAGTGTCACCATTTTCAACTTTCTCTCGTATCTGCTTCCGAACTTCTTCATGTTGCATTTCTACCCTCATACGGTCATGTTCTTCCCTAATGGTTTTCTGAAGATCTTGCAGGTTCTGAACTTCTCTCCTCATGTTTTCCTCTGAGACTGCCTCCTTTTGTTCAGCCACCTGATTCTCTTCTTCTTCATTTTGCAGCAGTGCTAAGGCTTTTAGTCGTTCTCTCAACTGATTTCCTTCATTTTTTGCTTCCTCTGATCTTTTTTTGTTTTGTTGAAGTTGTTTCTCCAATTCTTGCATTTTAAGATGCTGTCTCTGTAACATTTCTTCATAGGCAGCAGCTTCTTGCTTGAGTGTCTCCTCGAGCTGCTTCTCCCTCTTCTCTTCAAGTTTTTCCTTCTTCTCAGCTTCTCGAAGCTCAGCCTCACACCTCTCATACATCTCGTTTGTGTAGCACCCGCCGCCGTTGTAACCAACCATGCTTTTTACAATGACTATCAGGTCTTTGGCAAATTTCTCCTTCTCTGCATCCGTCCCCCTGTTGTTGACAGCAATACAGCGACGACTTACATCAAATAGAAACTTCTTCAGTGTCACTGGGCAATCACCTAGATAGTTGTCAAGGGTATCATTATCCGCTTCCAAGTCATCTTTTCCAGTAAATACAATAATCACAAATCGTTTTGATTCTTCTCCAAAGCAGCGCAGGAACCTTTCAAGTGTATTTTTGTCTTCTTCCATGAACCTTCCTACCCTCACGATGAAAAGAATGGCGTGTATTCCAGGAGATGACATGCCTATACATTTCATTATCTCTTCCTTTATGTCGTCGTGTGATTTTACTGTGTCACAAAAACCTGGGACATCAACAAGCTGCAAGTCGTCACCAAAGCGCTTAAAGGAATGTTGTTTACATTTCTTTGTAACAGACATTGCTCTTGCGAATGAGTCAAATATCTTCACAATCTTTCCGGCTCCAGCTATTGTATTCCCTGTTTCACTTTTACCAACTCCAGTCTTTCCTACAAGTACCATTCGAATTTCCCTGTCTAAGAAGCTGGAACGTTTCCCTGTGAAAGAGAATGCAAACAGTCTTACACCCACTACTCAACGGATTATGAATTACATCATTTTGTCAGTTGAACTTCAGTCAAATGCAAATGCGGGAGATTGCCTATTTCTGTTTAAGTTTTAATTTTCAGGGTAATTATTATGTGCCATAAATATGATCACAATGTCTGTCGGTTAGATCAATTTCATAGGAAATATATTTGCATCGTTTCAAAAGAGAACAAAATACTTAATATTGCTGTGTCTGATAGCAAAACGACACGAGTGCCACAATTATTGCAGCAGTAAGATACTATTGACATGATTGCAAGGCTCGCTTGTTTTATTCAGCCTGACTACCCGATTAATCAATGATTAGCAAACAGGTCCGACTCCTTGATCGATTAACTAGTTCAAATCAAAATATCAACACCAGAGATCAATAAGTCTTCCAATACAGTTTCGTAAAAATGACTTAAAAGACAGAACATCTGCCGTGACACCAGGTTTTCGCTTAAAGGGTAAACATGGCTTGCCCACCCAACGAGTAGCATCTATCACTGTTGTCATAAAAAAACTGGTGTTAGTTTGTATGTTGTTTGCAAGTAATATAATGTTGGTGACACATGATGACACAGCCCCAACCCCAACCCCCACCCCACCCCCCCCCACCCCCCCCTCCACATGGTTTCCCCATAGCAAGCAGCTCATTCAGTTTCCACCCAGTTTTCTTGAACACATGTCTGCATAGGGAAGTACCTTTGTCAGCCATTGTGACGTGTATGCCTGTTAAACAATCTGAAATGAAAAGACAATTTCTGCAAGTATGATTTTGTGCTTATAGAGGGTGTAATCGTGACATATGATTGAAACTGAAAACATTGTTTCAGCCTTCATGAGATAAGAGTATTTGACAAAAAACATCAAAAAGCCTTTTATTGCATACATGTTGAACCTAAAATAAGTAAAATGCCTCCTTTTTGGACATGCCAACAGCTGGTCACAAAAGATGGGAAGGTTCATTAATACGCGCATACAATACACAGGAACAATAATAATAATAATAATAACTACAGATTTATAAAGCGCTGGTATCTAGTTCGAAGAACTGCTCAAAAGCGCTTCATTAGAGTCTACACAAAAAAGAGACATTACACAGCTAGGAAAACACAAAGCCTCAATACTCTAAGAAAGATTTGGTGAAAAGATAGGTTTTGAGTCTTGATCGGAACAAAGTAGGACTGTCAATGTTCCTAATATCCAATGGCAGCCTATTCCATAGCTCAGGGCACATAATGCCACAGAACAGTGGCCCGCTTAGTGGGAAATATTTGCTACAAAACTCAAACAAGAACAAAACAGACAGCATGATGTGAGTTTATTGTAACATGAAGATAAAAAGAAAGATTTGAGATAAAAGTCTCACATCGTCACATATCACTGTCATACATTGTGTATGTCTTGATATATCGCAAATATCAACGAAGGGCAAGGTTTGGTTTATTTCACGATAAAACATTGCTGTCATGACGTCATTTCTAGAGATTGATGAGGCTCACAACTTGATAATGTCGTAAATTGGACGACAATATGTACTAAAGGGTAGTGAGTTGTTTCCCTCAGATAAGGGGACGCAAAGGCCAAACGATCGCGTCAAAGACCGGGAGATCTATGAAAATCTCGTTCGGAGAAGAGGTAAAGATAATAAACGTGAGGAATGTGGGAATATGCGGGAAATACTCAACCCCCTGTTCATAAAATGGACTTGCCCGACACTGACGAGATCGACTGCGTCCTTCATGGTTTATTCTCCCTGCTGTTTTTTTTATTGTACGACAAATAACTCCACATCACCGTTTATTTCTTAAAAGAGCCTACTAGTCATGCGAATTTGGATATATCTACCAACAACTCTGAGATCGGTATCCAGTTAAACCTTATACTGTGTTACAATAAAATGCCAAGATTCCGAAAAACAATTTCGTCACTAAACTGTTTTCTTTCAATTTTCAATGTGTTCAATTGAAACGTTGGGGTTTCAAAAACATCTTCACGTGGATTGATTCAATGGTGTGTGTGCCGTGGTAAATCATAACATATGGTTTACACCTTTACAAAAGTGTAACAGTATATATCAGCAGAAGAGAATGAACGACACTTACCAGCCGTTACCAAACGCTGCCAGAGCCCACTCCTAGCTGTAATACCCCGCAGTACGCCAGCCGCTGGCTTTCAGATGCAACTTGTCACGTGAGCAGACTAGGTGAGCCCACCTCATACTGTATACGTGTACTTAATATGTCTGTGCAATCCAAACAAATGTGAGACAACACGTGACGTCCTTCTGGCGACACGCAGAGATAAGAAATTCATTTTCTTTAGCAACGACGTTGAGCCTATAATCTCATTTACGGGTCTGTACAAAGATAAATTTTTAATTTTATTGAAATAAACTTGCAAATATACCATCTGAAATTTATATGACAAACTGTTTTGATAATGTTCTGTAGATAGATAATTGGCTGTTTGGTTGACTTTAATGCAGTTGATATATGGTGTTGCTTACATGGGGTTTTGTTTAGTCTTTTATTGGCATATATATATATATATAGTTGTTTGGGGTTTTGATAAGAAAATAGTAGGACATTTCAGTTATGCATTCATTCAACCATGCAGTTTTAAAATTGGCCCAACTTGTTTGAATAAGTGCATAAACAGTAATTAATGCACTGAAGTCCGTGGTAATAGGAGCCCAATGAGCGAATCCAATACTGAAATGCTATACGACAATGGAGTTTTCTTGTATAGTTTGTCCTTGTGGTCTAGTAACACCTATTATATTTATAGATTAAAGCCTTTTTAATATAATTATTCCAACGCATCTCGTTCAGCACAGAAGAACTTGAAGCGTGTTTTTGCCCTTGTAGCATGGTTTGTATCAGACACATTTCAGCTGACATTTCAACGACCTTTACTCCTAACTATTCCCCAAAACATTCATGTACCGGCGCACACACATCCAAGGGTTAATGCAACACAAGAATTTATACTCACATAACTTTACTACGCCTTATCATCGCAGGAGATACAACTTCTTTGGTCAGGCAAGATAGACTCGTCACGCAGTGACTTTCAAACCCACGCACTCCTTTACATGTGTTGAAGATATCTTTTAAAAATCTTCGAGCCTGTCATGCGTTTGTAACATGTCGAGATTCATAAGTTTGACTCTTTACCAAACATATCAGACCATGAAGTTATGTTTGTGTCATGATGGACAAATACCGGAACCTCTATGGCTAATTAAGCATCTCTATTAATTACAAGGCGACGACAACATCGAAACAATCACCCAAATAACATCTCGCTGTCGATTTCCTTTGAGTCTGAGACTTTCGTTAGCCATCTCACATTGAAGATCTCTCGACAGTAACCATCAGTTTACAGGCTGCATTTGTTATGACACGAGGGATGACTTCAACTTTCCAACAGTCAACGTTCCCTTCCTGAAATATCCCAGCAGCTCCAGCCTTTGGCGAACACCTGGTATAATTACTAGTTGACAGTGATTCCTCAACACACACTCCTGATATAGTCGTAATCGTACAATCGACTCTGCTTTATGTAGAGATTTCTATTCGATGTGAAAAGTGTTTTGTCGTTTTATATAATTATATGTTTCTATGTTTTTAAGGATGCATTTTAACCTCATAAAAATATATGGCCTTGATGAGACTGTGAGTATCGTTTTACGACACTTTAAGCAACATTCCAGCAATATCACGGCGAGGGACACCAGAAATGTGCTTCAAACACTGAACTCATGTCGGGAACTTGACGAGCAAACGCTTTAACCACTAGGCTACCCGACCACCCACGAAGCCAGTACACTAATCATTTTGACCGTAGAGCCAAGGACAAAGGAGATGTAACCTGGCAGAGAGAGAACTCTTTCTTCTGCCGGACAGCCCATGACCCATTGACATCTGTTCTGTGTTTCTGCGATCTGTTTCAATGTGAAAAGGGGATTCCAAATCCACACTCGACCGGTTTTAATCACTTCTGCCTCCGAAACAAGTGGTCCGATTTTGTAAATATTTTGTTTGGGTATGTTGGCTACGTCGACCTACACGCCATGTAAACGGGACAACAAAGCAACAAAGAGTGTCAGTATGTCGTCCAACTAGTATTGTCCCCTGACCCTTCCTTGCACAATATCGCTGGGTTTCGGTCATTCATAGAGATGTCACCCAACACCCGACCTATCCTCCGACAAATCCATCATGACGTCCTACGTTTACATTGATTTGACGCTCATGTGGACGTCGCCAGACCATGCAACATAACACTCACGCATCCCAACACAACACCCACCTATCTATGCCAACATACCATCCATGTATGCCAAAACAACAACTATGTATGCCAACATAACACCCATGTATACCAACATAACACCCATGTATGCCAACATAACAACAATGAATGCCAACATAACACCCAAGTATGCAAACACAGCTTGCATAAATTCAAACATAACATCCATGTATGCAACATAACACCCATGTATGCAACATAACACCCATGCATGCCAACATAACACCCATGTATGCAACATAACACTCATGCATGACAATATAACACAACATAAGAAAGTTTGAAAATACTTTGGGTGCCACTTGCCCAAGGAAATATTATCTGCTAACTCCCTAGGTATTGCAAAATCACTGAGGTCGTGTTGACATGTTCACAACAAAAGAAACTCAAACGTGCTCGCTGTGGATCTTAAGTATAATGTGTCTCGTGAAGCTTGTACGACCTTGAGAGATAAATGTACATGTTGTTTATGACATTGCTGGGTGATTATGAGACTGTATTCTGTAATACATTCACTCTTGAACGGGTTCCATTGTGGCAGAGGGGTCTCACCTTACTGTAGCACGTGAACATAGGGTCATACTTGACGCACAGGAGACGGTTTGTTTCAAATATATTATCTCCTTTACATTCAAATCTGCACTTCGAAATCAGCACATGGAGCCATCATCAGAGATCTCAAGACAGAAATGTTGTCAATCCATATACATGTAGCGATCCTCATCACCATATTTTCTATCCGAGAATGTTAAAAAATAAATGTGAAAGAACATATAATGAGATCTGATGGAGGAAGGATAATTATGAAGGTGTATGTAAGCATTTCGTCAACACAGGGGAATCTACTTTTAGTTCATACTTCAGTTGGAAGTTTTTGTCCCCTCAACAAATATATCAACGCACGTTGAGCAATTTCCGATATATGTTTGACAAGAAATGCCATTCATTCATTCATTCATTAATACACAGTGACGTAAAACTTTTTGAGGACATCTGACAAATGACACTTCCCAGGGTTTCAGAAAAATGCATGGTCTTGCTGGGCGTTTCTTAGGGCAGCGCGTACTTACTCTTTTCGCGAACACCTTGTGTCATCACTCATTTTCAGTGATACATGCATATACCAATATTTCGCCTTTTACGCCCAATGGAATCTTTTTTCGGAACTCCACAAAATGGTCAAGCAGCATATTTTGGTGAATTCCTAGAGAAATGGTTTACAAACTAAGGGAAGGGGTAAAATGTCTGTGGTTGATTTCACCATCTTTGAGAAGGTCACAGTTGCGGGTATTGGTAACTATGTATTTATGGCAAGCAGATATTAGATGTAAATGTAGAACGAGTTTTAAGAACATAAACGGCTGAGTCGCTAATATAAGCTGACACGCTGTATACAACAAATACTAACGAAGTAATATACTCTTCAAAAAGAGAAACGCAATGCGGATATTTTTGGCCAAAAAAGCAACATTAGCGGACCTAGAGGGACGGGATGAAGAGGTCTACTGTATTATAGGTCCAGTGACAAATTTCCCGGATGAAAATGATCACAGCAAGGACAAACCATTAGTCGGGAAACACGTACAAAGTGGCCATGGAGCTGTACGCATGAACGGTATTAAAGTGCAGGGTCGGCCCGCAATCTGCGTCAATCGAACAGTGACATTTCAATAATATGCCAAGATTAACATAAGTGCAAAGAAACAACGTCATAGGCCGCTTGCAGGCAGCGGAATCGCGATCAGCTGTAACCAGGGTTTTGAAGGTAGCACCCAGCACCATCACAAGGCTATGGGATCGGTTTCAACAGCATGGGTCAACACGTGATTTGCCAAGGTCGGGATGACAAAGTCTAACCAAGACCCCCGCCCAAGATCGCTACATATGACTGCGCCACCAACGTGAAAGGACGACCACAGCCACGTCAACTGCATTCCAAATACCCGGACTGCGCAGAATCTCCGACCAGAGTAAACCCCCTTTAAGAGCAGCAGGTCTACGAGCAGGACGTCCTGTTCGACGCGTCATATTGAGTCGACAACACCGTCAACAACGACTGCATTGGTGTCGTCAACACAGGGTATTGCCTCAACGCGATGGAGAGCTGTTTGGTTCAGCGACGAGTCAAGATTTCACCTCCCTCGAGGGATGGAAGTGAACGGGTCTACAGACATCGGCGTGCAGGAAGTAGATAGGTTTGATGGGTGTAGCGTTATGATGTGGGCGGATATAGCTCACCATGGCAGGACAGGTTTGGTCCATATCCAGGGCAATCTTACGGCTCAAGGATACAACAACGGAATTCTTCTACCACACATCCTCCCAATTGCAGCCAACGGCAACGGTGTATTCCAGCAGGACAACGCTCGACCGCATACAGCACGGATCATAAGAGTCTGTCTACACAACAACAACAACGTTGATGTTCTCCCCTGGCCCTTCAGATCCCCGGATTTGAACCCGATGGAGTACATGTGAGGTCAATTGAATAGACGGTTACGCCGACGTCAACCAAAACCCCAGACGCTGCAACAGTTGGCTTTTACGATGCAGGCCGAGTGGGCTACCATTCCCCATGATGTGATTCGCCTATTCGTCTCTTCCATGGGCAGGAGATGTCATGCCGCTATCGATTCAAACGGGGGACAAACGCGTTATTGATGGTAGCTGACCTTCACCTTGGACGTTTCCTATGTACCGATAACTGAGATGACTACAGTAAAAAACTGTTCCCTCCACAACATTTTGGCTTAATACCTTGTACGGTTTCTCGTATAAATATATTTTCCTACCGCACACAAATCTGGCTTTGCGTTTCTTTTTTGTAAGAGTATAT